TCGGAAAGGTTGAGGATCAGGTAGACGATAGTGAAAATATTTTGAAATATCTGCTCGATTTCTGGAGAAAGTCTTCAGAAAAAAAAAATTAGTGCTAAATTCTCAAACGGAATGGTCCCTTTTTTCTTTATTTCTTTCTGCTCTGGTTTTATGCTGCTACGAATATTGAAATTGTTTGACAAATTATTATCTTTCAATCAGTCGAGTGAGGAAATTGCATCAAATGTGGTGCTGTTTGATGGAAATTCGAAGAGTTGCTCGTCGGAAATGGAGACAAGTCGCGGAGCAGTTTTGATGAAACCGAAGTCGGCCGCTGATATTGCCAAAGAGGTTATTTTCGCAATTATCTAATGTCTTCTCTGCCAGTCTGGAATTCACTTTCAAATCATCAAAAACATATCGACCGTTTCTGTCCAGTGACAAACACGTCTTTCAGCACTCCAGCGTTCTGATTTTTAAAAAAAAGTCGTAACTTTACTATCAAACATCATAAGCGAAGCGCACTTTTCAAAGTGTAGTGAGTTAAGTACACGATTTTTGAACACTCCAAGACCTCTAAAATAAAGAGTCACATCACGAATGTTCTGCCTACATTATAAATTCGTAAACTGACCCGAGTGTTGCTAATGATGCGAACACTTCTGTGGGCCCAGGTTCCCTTCGGACGGTAATCTTGAACCTAGCCAAATATTTATTTTTTGACCGCGTGTATAGTTACTTTCAACTTCGTCAGTGTCAGTGGGATTTAACTTCTAAAAATGCAAATGATAACTTCAAGTGTTGATAAGGATTTAGCTCATGATTAGTTGAACAAGACTGTGAAATCATCCGTTTTAGCGTCATAAGTCGACAGCTATCTGCTGCTGCTGAGGATTCTATTCCTTCGTGAAAGCTTTCTTTCCGACGTCGCAGTATTTTAAAGATATGAAGTATTCATGCGCAGAAGCTTTGGGATAATACTCTTCTTTTGTTCCTCAGACGTTGCTTGAGGAAGACAAAAAAAGAATGATTTATCGTCTTGTACATATAATGAACATTAGCCAGCTTATTCTTGTGCTGTATGTATTCAAGACATCCTTGCGAGGAAAAAAAATAAAATAATTAATAAAACGGAGGAAAAGAGTAATTTATTCTGCCCGGACATCCAAAGGCAGGCAGTTTCTTGACACACCCATAAGCTCCCCGGGTAAAAAGCTATTTAACGAGGCTTACAACGCCGCTCAATGCTTCTTTGCTTTTAGCATGGATAAGACGACTTTTTCCTCTCAGAATGGTTTTATGTCTGATTCATACGTTATCATGTGGAAAATATTTTCACATCTTGGTGGGAAAAATATACAGTGAGACCCAAAGATGCGGACGTAATTGGTGCATCAAGAGTGTCCCTAAGTCGAAGTGTCCCCAAGTTGAGTCTCATTTTCCCTTGGACTTACATTATATAATTTTTTATTGGTGTTTCATTTACAAAATACTCACCCTAATTCCATGAAAATAAAAATTGTCTCCCAATTTAAACTGATTCAATCAATGTATTTCAACGCAATATGAACATTTGGGGAATTGAATACTGATACCTCATCTGTACAGTGCATATGGAAGTGTTGGCATTTTCTGTAAAAATAAAATGTAAGTGAAAAAGAGAGAAGGAAGTCCCTTTATGCTGGAGGTAATTATTTAAATTAGCTAAATAGATGGTAAATTGGTGAGAGAAATGCCCAAGAACTTTTCTTACATCAATTTTAGGGTTGGAAACATCTATTTCTTGTAATTTTGCCTGAAATTTATTTGCAATATTATTGCAAAATGTCCCTATGTTGAGTCAATGTCCTCATGTTGGGTCATTTTTGTGATTTTTTAATGGTAAAATAAGTGTCCCTAGGTCAAATTGTCTGCAGGTCAAGGCATCCACATGTGGGGGTCTCACTGTATAAGTATCACAGATTAATGGACTTATTGGAGGATGTATTTCTGCTAAATTTTGCATGAGCCTTTTTAGTTCATGTGAAGTTTTAGTTCAATTCTTGTTACTGATATTTTGTTTTCAATGTCAGGGAAAAGAGAGGGTGTATGCATACACATCAGTTGTGCAGTTGTACATTGTGGAATGTATTTTTTTTTATTTTGGTATCCATATACCGTATTTACTCCAGTACCATGCGCCCTCAAGTAAGGCGTGCACAGGGGTTTTTGAGTTTGAAATTTTGCTAAAACCTTATCCCCAAGTAAGACTCGCACCCCAAATTTTAACAAATCTAATTCCACAAAATTTTGAAATCGACAAAAAAAAATTGATGTTAGACATGAATTGAATAACAATCTGATCAATTTTCAAATTTTTCAGTATAAACGAGTTTTTTTGGTACATTTATTCCAAATTTCTTCATTATAATTAAGTATAATGCACACATAACTTCCTAAAACTTCTTTAAAAATTTGTACCAGCTTATGATGCGTGCCCCTTTTTTTCTTCTTAAATTTGAGAAAAAAGATGCGCATGGTACTTGAGTAAATACGGTATACAGCTTTTTTCTCTGTTTCCCATTCTGAAGTGATTGAATGTGTTTGAATGGATTTGGGTTGGGTGTGGAGGGGTTTTGGATATGGGAATGTTGATTGAACCTTGTGAACGCTGAAAAGCAGAAAATAAAGCTTTCTGCTCATTTGTCTTAGTTCATGTGTGACTGAGATTTCCAGATTTAAAAAAATCAGAATTAATGGGAACCCGGGATACATACGGAACACATAATATTTTGAAGACCTGTCCAATGCAGACGGAAAAAAGACACAGTGCGATAGAATTTCGTTCTCATGAATAAGCCACTATAAAGGGATTTCGCAGAGAAGAGCTGCCTGTTTCACCCGCAAATGCTTTCCAAAATGAGACATTTCATGGAAATTTATGCCGCCTGTATTTCCTGAATTGATTTCGGATGAAAAGATGAGGAATTCGATTTACGGAGGACTTGCGTAAAATTCCTGCTGATGACAACCCGACTCTATTTAACTTGTTTTATGTGAGAAATTTATCACTCTCTTTGGAAAAAAGAGAGAAGACGTGAAAGTCAAATTATCCGTGGAGCTTTTGAGAAAATAAGGAGACGTTTAAGTTGCTTCACTATGGCATTGTCTCATCGTAGTATTTTGAAAGAGAAACCTTTTCTACGAAAAATGTTTGCAAATGCAAAATTTTTTCAATTTACAGTCATTTAAACTACATTTTAAAATGAAGCTCGAGGCATATTTGAGATAAGATACTCAATTTTCGCACGGTAAACTTCCGCAGAAATCGATTAATCCGTAACAAATACTGTATACTGTATATTTTTCATCCGAGGATTTCAATACCGTATGTTGTCAGATTTTTTTTCCCTGCGAGCAAAAACAATAAAACAATGTTTTCCAAAATGCCATGAATATTGAAGCATCCGATCTTCTGCTGCTGCTGCCGCAAACATCCGTTTCCGGGACTTGGTTTTTTTCTCGCTTCTTTTGGCATGAAAAAAAAAATCGTGTCTCTCGAATGGATTCAGTTTGTTTTTCCAAAATACCACTTGCATGATGTCCTTTAGAATTACGGTCCGGAAGCTTTCAGGAAGCAAGTTTTATCTCTGCTAATACCCCGACATCAGAGATGCGCGGAATCTGCGACGACGGTTTTTATTCTTCGTGTATATCCTGCTTCTTTTTTTTCTTTTTTTTACTTCTGGAGTATTTGGCTGCTGGTGCTGGTGCTGGTGGAGGTATAGTGCTGGTACAATGCGCGCTGTTTGCCTCGCTGCAGTTTTCCTGCAGCTTCTTGCTGGCAAACATCGAACCTCCGAATCTTTTGGACGAGTTCTGTGCTTATCCGGGTTATGGCTTCCTCGTCTGAGAATATTCCGTGGTTCGAGTGTAAAATTAACTCCCTTTTTCCAAGTTTCACTCAAATTGAAAAAAAAAAATTTAGATAAATATCCGCCGTCCTGAGGGAGGAGAACAAATGTACAGTATCTGAAATCACTGCGGGAATTCGTCTCTTTCTGATGCGTGTTCTTTTGTTTTCGGTGCCCTTTTTTTTTTGCTCAATCACATATTATGATGTGGAAAAATGATAATCACTTGAAATTCGAGTTCGGAAAGCGTTTTTAGGTGGCTCAGCAGTCTTGATTAAGAATATAAGAGCTGGGCTTAGGAATTGGTATTTCATAATAAATTACTTGAATTACATGATAATTACTTGAAATTAGAGTTTGGAAAGCGTTTTTAGGCAGCCTTGATTGAGAATATAAAAGAAGTGGGGCTTAGGAATTTGTATTTGAGAATAAATTACTTGAATTACTTGATAATCACTTTAAATTTGAGTTTGAAAAACATTTTTAGGTGGCACAGCAGTCTTGATTAAGAATATAAGAAGTGAGGCTTAGGAATTGGTATTTAATAATAAATGTCTCTGGCATCTGAATTGCAATAGAAAAAAATGTATCGCCGCCGCATACGAAAAATGCATTATGCAGTGAATACCGTTGTAGAGAATTAAGCTGCTTGAGCAATATTTCATGATATGTTAGGAACAGAAAACAAGCTTTATTTGAAGAATACCGGTGTAGATTGTAGACAAACTTATTTTCGGGGGAAGTCCGCCACGAAACGTTTCAACCATCAATTCCTTGAATGTCAAATTGAAAAGGTTAAAAAGTTAAAGATTTGGAGCACTTCAGTGAAAACGACTCACTGTCCAAATTTCCCCGAACTGCGAATAATTAGGGAAATTTAGCATAATAGGCAGATGAAGAGTAAATCGTTTCAGAAATTTCGGCCCTGCTGCATCTCCGTTGAAGATTTTTCTCCTCGCTTTCTGAGAAAATCAGAACATCGTTTGTGCGTACACGGACCAAAATTAGCATCCTTTTTTCTCTTGGACGGGTTTTTTTTCTGAAGGTTAAAGAAAATTTACGAAGTAAATAAATAACCCCGCCTGACCGAGCTGAGGTTATTTGGGTGGAGGGAACGTTCTCCTCGGAATGATCTCGTCATCCGGCGGAAGGGCGGCCAGATCGCCGACCAAATTTCGTGGTGGTTCTGCGGTACGTACCGTATTTATAAAACCTTTTGCATTAAATCCGAAGAGACCGATTTGCATTATTTTTACAACGTTTTTGCTAGATTACTTTAAATATTTCGTATGTCTTGGTCCAACTTTCTTGGAACGTCGTACGAATGAAAAAATCTGTGAAACAAATCTTTTCTTTCAACGTTCGCGCGTTCAATTTAAATTTTCACACGCTCGCATCCCTCTGGAATATATCTGTTGACAATTTCAACCATTTATTTCTTACCGCGGAAAATGTCTTCATAAATTCCGAAAAGTCTTTTATACATGGTCTTGATTCTTGATCCGGAGAATATCCCGGAACATCATCCTCGAGAAATAACATGGTTCAATGAAAGCTTGAGAAAGTCTTAGATTTTAAATAATTGATTAAAACTGATATTTATTTAAAAACTTGGCGGAGTGCAAATTTCTCTTCGAAGAAATATTTTAAAAACTATCGGAAAGGCTTAAACGAAATGACTCAATTCGGATAAATCTAAACGGTCTTAGACAACAATAAGGAAGAAATCGTGGAAATTAAATTGAATCTTGACATGTCATTTTTTCCCTATCATTACCAAGAAAATCCTTCGAAACAGTCGGCTTGAAAGTCTTGCGTAGTAAATTTATGTGTTTATATAATTCCAAATTTATGCGGTTGAAATGTGCAAACGTTTTCGTTCTCTGGCAGAAAATTACAATGCAATCCGCTCAATGAGTTGGAATCTCGACCAATTTTTGAAAGGCGTAGTAAAATATTTTATAATTTCTCCTTTTTGCTGAACTTTTTTCGCATAGGATGCTTCTTTAGTTTTAAAAGAGAGGCGAAAATAAATTGAATGCCAAACTTGGATTTCGTTCAAGTTTCACGTCATTATACTGTATCAAAGATTCGTGGTGATGGTACTAAATTCTCGAATAAGAATATTCCCTGACTCGCATGTTTGCATGAAACGTATTATTGTCCTTGCTGATGATCTCACGATCCTTCATTCATTTCAATCAAGATTAAATTACTGTGACGCTATTTTCCAAAGTTTTCCAAAAACATTTCCTTCCACGAGAATAGCATTTTTAAAGCCGAATGACACTTTCCACTCTGCCGCATGAAAATCCCCCGGAAAGTTTTTCCGCGGCCTCCTTGACGTAATTCATTTTTCTTCATATTCCCGCGAGAAGTTTCGCAGAAAGCGTTCTGAAATCCAATTACAAAAACCGACCCCGGGAATGATTCATCATTAGAAGTTTGCAGAACCCCGAGAGAGAGGGAGAGTAAGAACGAAAGCGCGTAACATTTTATTTGCGTCCAACAAATATTGACCTTTTACGCGCGTTTCCGGAGTTTTTTTTATTTTCCACCCTCTTTTCGTCGTTGTGAACCACTTCGAAGAGCCATTCCTCGTATATATCTACGTATGTGAAGGACGTTCTCTTAACTTCGTTCCTTCGACGGAAGATACAATTTTTGCTAGAAAATACGAGCGCTTTTTTTTCTGTGCTCTTCCAAGCGGAAGAAAAGGCCTATACTTCAGAAAGCGAGAATATAAGGACTCGGGATGGAAATGATCGAACCTGCGTGATATAAGGGAATATGTGTCGTCGAGCTTCCTTGAAAGCATGAAGGAACAGCAGTTCAAATACTGCCGTATATATAATGGAATTATACGGTATATAATGTCCCATATTTACGCAACTATGAGACGAAATCGATTGTATGTTCTCCGAGTTTTCAGCTCCTCAAACAGAAAAAAAGTTTCTTGACACGAAGCTAAGATGCCTCACTTTCCTCGTCAAAATACGAGAGGTTACACGTTTCCGCGCGGACTCGTTTCTGGGCGGACTTGAAATGATCTGAATCCCAGGGATTTTTGAAAAAAAAAAATTATGGTGTTCAATAGTTCCAAGAGAATAGGCCAAAATCTTCTCAATGTCACCACTACTTATTTGTATGCACTTCTCAGCCCTTTTTTTTATCCATGTGTTGAAATTTTCAATTGTAAAATGCTGAAGTTTCCTCAGAGAACAGCAGCAATAACAAGCTGATCCGTGTGGAACTGTGTAACCCCTCGTAAATACCGCAGAAACTCTGATTTGCTGAAGGGGGGATAAAAAGGGAACGATTTTGCAATAAACCTTTTTCTTCACATAGAAAATACCTGAGAAACAGCGTCGAATAAATCTTATGCAGACTTTTAAATCATCAAGCAATCGAATGACTACGATGTTGGTTTAGAAAAACATTTTCAAAGAAAAATGTTGCGATATTCTTCTTCGAACTTGCACTGGAAGGAACAACTCCCTGCACTTGGTTCAAATCATGTTCCAAAATCATTAAAAAAAACATTGAAGATTCAACTAGCTAATATGAGAAATCAATCCTTCGAATCGGTTCTCATCGTTGAACACCCGAAATAAACTAAAATGTTGCGTGTGGATCCACGATGTCGTCACTTCAGACTCGTGTATTGCTTATTTTTTAAAGCCAAAATCTAGTGCTTGTCTATTGGTGTAAAAACGTTAAAATATTTAAAACAAATTTAATTTTTTCGGTGCAATTTTTTGCGGATTTTTCGTCGCGTTCAGACTGCGCAAATGTTCGAAAGGGTTGTTGTATTCGCATTATCAAAGCGTTGTTTATTTGCGAATGCATCGCAGAATTTTTTAATTTTGCGTTTTCATATTTTTTCATTCTGTTTGGATTAAACCACATATTCTGGGAAGCGGGAGTTCTTTGAAAAAAAAATCTTTATACACACTATAAAATCAATTTTTCGTAAGCGTTATTTATTATAAGATTCGCGTCATTTTTTCGTCGTCGCCAATTTTATCCTCAGCTGCGCGAGAATGAAGTCCTTTCAACCGCGGGAAGCACAATATTGATGCAGGATGAAAAAGTTTTTTTTCTTTTCTCGGAGGGCATATGAAAAATTTCTCGTGTACAGTATTTGTTTGTCGAGAGTTCATCTGCTCAAATCTGGAAAGAACTCGCCTTGAAACCCATCAAGCGACGAAAGCAAAATGTACTTCCCACTGTATGATGCCGAAACAAAAGAGGATACGAAAGCTTCGAGATAAATTTAAGATTCGGGATTTCGGGACGGTTTTATGGTCGGAAGGATTTACAATTTTCCATCCGAAACAAACGGACTGCTTTCGAAAGATCCACGAACAGTTTCTAGATTCCCGTTGGAATGGAAAAGTCTCCTGGAATATATTGCGAAGAAAACTTTTTTTTCCTGGTAAATGCAATACACATTGAAGAACAGTCGCTCTTGGGCATGCAGAAGACAAAACCTAAGATCAAATATGGTCTTTCATACCGGCAGATTTCAAGGAAAAGCATTTTACAGATATAGTTCAGAATCTTCAGATATTTATTTTGTTTCGAAGTAGGACTTTTAGTTGGAGAACATTTACCCAAATTCCTTTTGAAGATTCATTCGATTTTTACGTTTGAGAGCTGACAGAAGCGTTCGAATTTGTTTAACGTATTTTTGAAAATGTTAGAATAATTTGGAAAATTAATTTTGTTTCATTCCCATATATACAGTATACTAGAATATGCTTCATTAAATGTCAATGTTTATCAGACAAAGCTATATATTTCTATTTTTAATGGAAGCAAAAAGTTGCATTTAAAAGTTTTCAAATTTTTGGAAAGAGAAATCTTGTGAATTCTCATATCTACTACATTACTGCCTTAAAAGTCATCGATCATCAGACGCAGCCACGGCATTGTATATTTTGCGCTTCAATAATTGGGACAAGTTTGCATGCGAATATAAGAGGCACTCTCTTTCCATATAAAGTATTCAGGGTCAGAATATTGCATTGATTTNAGAAGTTTCGCAGAAAGCGTTCTGAAATCCAATTACAAAAACCGACCCCGGGAATGATTCATCATTAGAAGTTTGCAGAACCCCGAGAGAGAGGGAGAGTAAGAACGAAAGCGCGTAACATTTTATTTGCGTCCAACAAATATTGACCTTTTACGCGCGTTTCCGGAGTTTTTTTTATTTTCCACCCTCTTTTCGTCGTTGTGAACCACTTCGAAGAGCCATTCCTCGTATATATCTACGTATGTGAAGGACGTTCTCTTAACTTCGTTCCTTCGACGGAAGATACAATTTTTGCTAGAAAATACGAGCGCTTTTTATTTTCTGTGCTCTTCCAAGCGGAAGAAAAGGCCTATACTTCAGAAAGCGAGAATATAAGGACTCGGGATGGAAATGATCGAACCTGCGTGATATAAGGGAATATGTGTCGTCGAGCTTCTCTGAAAGCATGAAGGAACAGCAGTTCAAATACTGCCGTATATATAATGGAATTATACGGTATATAATGTCCCATATTTACGCAACTATAAGACGAAATCGATTGTATGTTCTCCGAGTTTTCAGCTCCTCAAACAGAAAAAAAGTTTCTTGACACGAATCTAAGATGCTCACTTTCTTCGTCAAAATACGAGATGTCACACGTTTCCGCGCGGACTCGTTTCTGGGCGGACTTGAAATGATCTAAATCCCAGGGATTTTTGAAAAAAAAAAATTTATGGTGTTCAATAGTTCCAAGAGAATAGGCCAAAATCTTCTCAATGTCACCACTACTTATTTGTATGCACTTCTCAGCCCTTTTGATCCGTGTGTTGAGACAGGTCTTGAAATTTTCAATTGTAAAATGCTGAAGCTTCCTCGGAGAACAGTTCCGCAACTATAAAAAAGAGCTTGTCACAAGCTGATCCGTGTGGAACTGTGTAACCCCTCGTATATACCGCAGAAACTCTGATTTGCTGAAGAGTGGATAAAAAGGGAATTATTTTGCAATAAACCTGTTTCTTCAGATAGAAAATAATTGATTTCCCTGACAAACAGCGTCGAATAAATATTATGCAGACGTTTAAATTAGCAAGCAATCGAATGACTACGATGTTTTCAAAGAAAAATGTTGCGATATTCTTTGTGGAACTTGCACTTGATGGAACAACTCCCTGCACTTGGTTCAAATCATGTTCCAAAATCTTTAAAAAACATTGAAGATTAAACTAGCTAATGAGAAATCAATCCTTCGAATCGGTTCTCAATCGTTGAACACCCGAAATAAAATAAAATGTTGCGTGTGGATCCACGATGTCGTCACTTCAGACTCGTCTATTGCTTATTTTTTAAAGCCAAAATCTAAAGAAATGTGCTTGTCTAATAGTGTAAAAACGTTGAAATATTTCAAACAAATTTAATTTTTTCGGTGCAATTTTTTGCGGATTTTTCGTCGCGTTCAGACTGCGCAAATGTTTGGAAGGGTTGTTGTATTCGCATTATCAAAGCGTTGTTTATTTGCAAATGCATCGCAGAATTTTTTTAATTTCGCATCTTCATATTTTTTTCATTCTGTTTGGATTAAACCACATATTCTGGGAAGCGGGAGTTCTTTGAAAAAAAAATCGTTATACACACTATAAAATCAATTTTTCGTAAGCGTTATAATATAATATTCGCGTCATTTTTTCGTCATCGCCGATTTTATCCTCAGCTGCGCGAGAATGAAGTCCTTTCAACCGCGGGAAGCACAATATTGATGCAGGATGAAAAAGTTTTTTTTTCTTTTCTCGGAGGGCATATGAAAAATTTCTCGTGTACAGTATTTGTTTGTCGAGAGTTCATCTGCTCAAATCTGGAAAGAACTCGCCTTGAAACCCATCAAGCGACAAAAGCAAAATGTACTTCTCGCTGTATGATGCCGAAACAAAAGAGGAAACGAAAGCTTCGAGATAAATTTAAGATTCGGGATTTCGGGACGGTTTTATGGTCGGAAGGATTTACAATTTTCCATCCGAAAGAAACGGACTGCTTTCGAAAGATCCACGAACAGTTTCTAGATTCCCGTTGGAATGGAAAAGTCTCCTGGAATATATTGCGACGAAAACTTTTTTTTCCTGGTAAATGCAATACACATTGAAGAACAGTCGCTCTTGGGCACGCATACAACAAAATCCCTAGATCAAATATGGTCTTTCATACCGGCAGATTTCAAGGAAAATCATTTTACAGATATAGTTCAGAATCTTCAGATATTTATTTTGTTTCGAAGTAGGACTTTTAGTTGGAGAACATTTACCCAAATTCCTTTTGAAGATTCATTCGATTTTTACGTTTGAGAGCTGACAGAAGCGTTCGAATTTGTTTAACGTATTTTTGAAAATGTTAGAATAATTTGGAAAATTAATTTTGTTTCATTCCCATATATACAGTATACTAGAATATGCTTCATTAAATGTCAATGTTTATCAGACAAAGCTATATATTTCTATTTTTAATGGAAGCAAAAAGTTGCATTTAAAAGTTTTCAAATTTTTGGAAAGAGAAATCTTGTGAATTCTCATATCTACTACATTACTGCCTTAAAAGTCATCGATCATCAGACGCAGCCACGGCATTGTATATTTTGCGCTTCAATAATTGGGACAAGTTTGCATGCGAATATAAGAGGCACTCTCTTTCCATATAAAGTATTCAGGGTCAGAATATTGCATTGATTTGTAAAATTTTTCAAACGTTAGACAAAGTGCCTCAAATATGTCTGATAGAAGTTACATTTACGAGTAAAACTTGTTGGATTTTAAACTTTAAATGGCGTAAGGATTAATCGCATTTGAATTTGAACTGAACGTAAATTTATCTTTCAAAGATTTTGTTGAACAGAAGGAATCATATGCATTTCACCTTCGATTATGATGAGACACCCTCAAAATATAAGAGATTGCCGAATGTAAGAAGACTCTGTGATTTTTCAGAGGATTTTTTTTTCCAAATGGTATTCATAAATTCAAGGTAATTCGGCAATTGTGGATTCATTTTTCCAACAGCGCACGGAATCCTGACAATAATTTGATTTTTTTTTATTCAGTCACGCTTAGATATGCACTTCCTTGGTTGGACGCTGGAACTGCTGATTTGGTTTTTTTTTAAATAAATATTCTGTTTTTTCGAATCATTCCATATCAGGAGTTGGCGTCGGGGAATCCGGAACAGAGGAACTGGAAGGGCATCTTCATTTCCGTGTTCGTGATCGCCGCCTTTTGCGGCTTGATCCTGTTGGCCGTTATGCTGGTGTCGCCCGACACGTTCAAAGACGGCGACACGACGCGTGCCATCCCGCTCGACGACCTTCTGTCGACTCGCCAGTTTCACCCGCGACGCTTCAACGGCACTTGGATCTCAGGTGAGTGTGTCGATCCCAAGCACTTGCGAGCGACTCAAATCACGTGCTGCAAGTCCTTCGAAAATCGGACATTAAAAGCGGGGTTTTTGATCAGTTGAAATCTTGACAATGGTTCCCATGGAATGGAGCTTTATATGTAGCCAGCAGTCCCAGGATTTCCTGCGGACATCCATAAAATAAATTCAGGTTGCCCTTTGTATAGTTGAACCTCTCAAAGTAAAAATTTCAAGGGACCAGGAAAACAATTTTTGACTTATAGAAAGGTTTTGATTTAGAGAGGTTTTGAGTTGAGGAAACTGATATTTTGTTGCAAGGAAACATAAAATTATTGAGGGAAATTGTAAATGAGGATATTCAGGACCTTAACTTGCTTCTTATTAATAAGTTTACAGCATGCTCAACTTGGAGGAAGGGGTTCATTTTCTCCATTAGTCCTTCAGTTCAATTCAAGATGCCTCAAATCACTTGTTTTATTGATTTTCTCTTTCAAATTTCAATGAAGTGATAACCAAAAAGGCTTTAGAAAATTGGACTTACAGCAGAGGTTTGAGAGAAAATGATTTCAAGTCAGGGAGGTTTTTAATGCATTGTTTCCCAGAGAATTCAGAAAGGGACTTGAAACAAATGTCACTTTGTAAAGTTCAACTGTATATTGAATATTTACGTAGAATATCTGATGGGTTGTCATAAAAAAATGTGTTGAATAATAGTTTTAAACAACATGACATAAAATACGATTTATTTATGTGAATATCAGTTTTACGTCTTAAATTTATTCTTTCTCTAAAGTTCTTTCAACTTCTGACCTTTTTCAACAACCTTGACAGCTCAAGATATAATTTCATTGTACTACTTGGACAAAACGCATAGAATTGCCAATATGCAGGGTGGGCCAAAAAAAATTACCAATTTTTGACTCAAAATAGCTCAATTTGCTACCGAGCTAATTTGAGTCAAAATTGGTTAACTTGAGCTACTTTGAGTGAAAAATTGGTACTTTTTTCAGCCCACCCTGTATATAGACAGATACAATTTTCCCTTACGTTTTGTCTTTCTTCGGTTTCATTTCTTCTGTCTAATTCAGCCTGGAAATACGATTACAGTATTCAGTTCACTGCTCGGAATATAGTACTGTACTTGTGTGCTTATTTCTATCTCGCGTTGCTCATTTTTCTTCAAAAAAAAATTCGCTGTGTCTTGCTATTCCTTCGTTGAATATTTTTTCAATATATTTTCAATAATGAAAACCGGGTTATATTTTCCTTGCTGAAACTGTACCATGAGTGACCTCGGTATAATAATTTTCCTTGGCTTAGTGGACACCTTCCTGCTTCCAGAACCAGGAATCCCTTTTTGAAACCCCACACTGTATCTTAGAAATCCTCAGTCCTAAGAACGTCCCTAGAAATTATAGTGGGTAAGCTCGCTCGAATGTTTCCGGGGGAAACATTAGGAAGGAGGTGGAGACCCCAGTGCGTCACATGGCATGCAGCTTAAGAGGAAACATCGCGTGTACAACGACCTGGAAGCCGCTCAGTGCTGGTCATCCTGGTCTCTATACTCTGACTATTCTGACATTTCAGGTTCCAAATGCCCCGTGTCCCCATCCGCGATCCATGATTATATCCAACCAGCACGAAGCATGTACTGTATTTTGGAAGAAAATCGATGTGAAATGCTATGGCAGTTTTGTCTCCAACGTATTTTTCAGGTCATACGAGTATATATATATATATATATCCCTTGGAAGGCAGAGGGTTCTTTCTCAGGGCGCGGCGGAGTCAGGATTTTTCTGGGGGCAGTGCATTTCAGTTTAACCCAAGGTTGCTGAAATGAGCCCAAGTTGAGGAGGACGAAGTCAGAAAAAATCCGGGAGGCAAATTTTCTTTGCTCCCAAGATTTTCCCATGCAAATCCTATGCCAGGAATGCAGGAAAAAATGCCACCCAGCCAGGGATTTTTTTTTTTTTCAAATTTTCATTGAAAATTTTCTGCGGGATTCGAAAAAACTCTCAGACTTTTTCCCGACTTAGCTCTTGGTAAAAAAAAATTGGGTTTTTTTTTATTCCCAGTGCCCAGTGGCACAAAATTTTGCGAAAATATCCCAACTTTGCCGAACAAGGGATATAGAGACCAGTGTTACGGGACCTGTGATCCACAGACAAGCATCTGGTCCAAAAAAGTGCTTTGCAATCCTGCAGGAACTTTTCTTCAGCATTATAAGTTTATGAAAAGTAGCAAGGAAGTCTGTAATCTTTATCTGAAATTTTAGAAAGACAATGGCAGTTGCTATTATCTGATGAAAAATAAAATTAGGTTTTTTCATGATAACATTTTAGACAAATGTTCTCCTGCTGCAATGAATTATTGTAAATTTTCATTCTGAGAAACCTTTCTTCAACTCCACCTTTCTAATTTTCAAAGACATTCCACTTCAGCTGTTTCGTTGGTTCTTAACTTGAGTTTTGGAAAAAAGCTGAAACTTTTCAAATACAGTACCTGCCATGAAGTCCTTCAAGCAAAACCTTTTTGAGTCAGCAACAATTTTTATGATACTCTCTCAGTCCACAGAAAATCCCTTTACCATTTGCCAGCCTGCAAAAAAATTCAATGGAAATTTGCCAGTCTGCAGGCCCAAAAAGGTTTGGGTAATACGGATATACATACAGTAAACTCCTCAGGAAGTACAAAATGTACTGCAGTCATATACGTCTCTTAGCGAAGAGATTTCGTTTGCAAAAAGTCAATGCGGTTGAGGAAACGGAAATGAGAAAATCTTCATAGCACACATGGCTCAGAAGTCTGCTAAAAAAATGATCATTCTGTTTATTCTAATGATCATTGATCTCGAGAGTTGATCTTATTATATGTAAACGTCCGTTGTTGTACCACTGTGTTTTGGAATGGTGTTCCTCTGGGATGTTGAAAGTTTAGCCAGGTAATTACAGAAGTCATCTATATTTTGCAACGATTTCATAAATTATCGTGTCTTGGTCTGTTTAAGGGTCGAATCAGTTCGAGACATAGGACAGTAATTTAATCGATGGAAGCCAATTTCCCTCGTTTTCTGTATAAAACTTGCTCAATACGAATATGAGTAAGATAAATGTCCTGTTTTTCGCATGCATTTTTGAACTGCTGCCAAAACTAACAATTCATCTGATCGAAGCATCCGAATTTTTTTTTAAATCTCCGTGAACGAAGATTCGTTGAAGTGGTTAAAAGCGCTTTAAAGTCGGCATAAGTTTATAGCGATCGTTGTGTTTTATTTCCACGCGGGTGGTTTTTTTATGTAAAAATGTTCACCGGTTTCCATGGTTCACTATGTATATAGACGCATCTTCGCGATTCTTTCTTGAAGAACAATATCCCGCACTAAAACGCGGAAGTTCTTCTATCTTTATACTGGTATCATTTCTATAGCTAAAAGAAAATTGCTTGTAATATCGATGTCGCCGGGAAATTTCCTGGTAACCCATTGCATACTGCAGTTTTCTTCCACAAAAAAAGACGAGAACTTCTCGAAAAATAAAAAAGAGTCGCCAGAATACCATAAAGGAACTTTTAGCAATCCAAGAAAAGCTTGTCTCAGGGAGAGAGTTGTAACTGGGAATTCATTCGATCTTCGGAAAAATTTTAGTTTTTGCGGGATTGGCCCCAGTAGCATACAACTTTACGGGTTTAAACAAAATCCATCAGATTTCCGATGTGAGAATTCCCTGTTTATTTTTTTCAACACATACACTAAGATAGCTTTGACTAATGCATGCATTTTTCAATCTATGAACATTTATTTAGGCTAGAAGTTTCCGAAAATTAATCTAGAAGTTTAATCACGTGATAAAATTCTTCATATCCGGTCGAGGCCCTGGAGTTGAAATTTAGATTGAAAGGATTCCGGGACGTGATCTCATCCGGTTTACGCAAATATTTGGACGCCAAGCCATATATGCTCGGAAAGGCGAGGAAAATAAGATTTTTCGTTCATGTTCGCTTGCCTATGAGCTTGAAACTGGGAGAAAACTTGCTGGCCAAATATTTGCAAGCAAGAATCGCGTGCTTCAGCATGTTCTTCAGCATCCTCGAAGAATTTGGTGATTCCAATCAAGATACGAATAATGGCAAAATCGTTGAGATTTCTTCGAGGGTCCTTTGAGTTGAAGGTCTTGTTACGGTGGAAAAACATTGAAAAAAAAAACATTCGTCCGTCTTAAAAGTACTGTATGCGTATTTTTGGAAATCTTTTCCAGCTTTTTGATTAAGGAAAATTCTTCGTCGTCGAGCCACGATCAAATATTGATCATCCATTCCAGTGAAATCCAAACGATTGATTGCGGTACTTTGCTTCCGTTTTATTTTTCTGCAAAGGATGACATCCTGGGAATTATAATCCAAACCGAAGAGGAATGATTCAAAAGTCTCGCCAGTGTAGTGAAATGAAGTCCTTTATTGCGAACTGAGTTTGAATTTTGTGATTAAAAAGCATTATTGCATAGAGTTCTAAATAATTTCTGATCGTCGATTGAGACTCAGGCCAAACCTCTTCAGTATTTCAATATGCGTTTAATCGTTTTTACATTTTAGCTCCGAATTGAACAACTTATTTTGACGCACCAATTTTAATTTTGAGCAATCCGAACATATATTCCTCTATCCCTCTTCAGTATTTTCCGTTGACTCCAATATGAAAAGTGGCATGATGTAAATAAAACTATTCAAGTCGAACTTTAATGGACCAGCCAAAAATGGGTCCGAGTAAGGGAAACAAATCATTTTTGTTGGGGTAAGAAAGAAAAATTACAGAAAATTGTAATTCGAGGCCTAAAATAATGGCTTCTTAAACAAGTTGAGAGGATGATGCTGAACTTGGAGGAAAGGGTTTATTTGCCCAATCAATCTTTCAATTCCTTCAAAAACACATCCTTACTTTATTATTTATTTTCTTTTTCCTGTTTCAAAGAGACAATATAGCCAAAAAACGTCCAGAAAATTTAAATTGTGGAGATTTGAGGAGGAAGGTATTCGAGTTTGGGAGGTTTTTAATGCATTTTTTACAAGTGAAATAAGGCAGGGCCGTAAAAAAAACGTCCACATGGAGAGGTATTTTACTCATGGAGGTTCCACTTATTGAGGTTCAATTGTACCTGATTAATCATTATAAATCATCTGGTGTATAGTAACCAAACAAACGAAAAATCTAAAAGTTGATGTCATGGAATACCTGATGATACCACGGCTCAAAATCATTCTTCAATGCAATAATTTGCTTTAAAAAATACTTTCTTGTTCGAAACTCGGGAGTACTTGAACCTTTCAAAATCCACGGGCCAAAAAACAAAACAAAAAACAAAAAAACACAAAAAAAATCCTGAGATTTGCAAGCTTCAGATGAGGATATCTATATAGGCTCCTCTTGCTGTCACAATCCCCGAGATTGCTTTTTATATATTCATCCCTCAGCTGAGCTAACTGACGCGAGATAAGTTGTGTCATGCCGTCGTTGACGAGGAGTTAGATGAGGAAGAAATTCTAACCAGAAATATAAAAAAAAAATCTGTATTGTCAGAATACATAGTGTATAGGTACTTCGTAAAGAACTTCATTCACCCCTGGGTTTCGTTCCATGGACGAGAAAAAACGGGTTCAAAAATTATATTCCGCGTCCTGATCCTCTGATTTTATCGTGTCGTTTTACAGCTCATCCTTCACTCAAAATATAAAAAGTAAGAATGGTAAGAGCAAGTTTTAAAAGGGCAAGCACGCAAACATAAAAAGGGGTAGTGCGAAAGAAACAGCGCATTGAATAGCGATATTAACCTCACTCAACCAAATTTACCCTGGCTTACCCTTTCGAAACCTGACCTTACATCAATGTCACGTCACCGAAGCAATGTGTGACTCCATCTCATCGTGATCCCTTTTTTATATTTTCAGATTTTGAATTTGTTTATGTGTCCGAGGCCGGCGGGGTTCATCTGTTCAATGCGGATAACCAGTCCTTCAGCGAGATTTTGGATGCTTCGACTGTGGTGAGTGTTTTCTCTTGATGTACAGTAATGCACACATATATATACTGTATGTATAAACGAGTATATTAGTGTGTTAGTTTCTCGTAAATACCCTGCTGCCAATAAGATCTCAAGATCGATCATTTATTGAGCTTCGCGTTATCGTTTTTTTGTTGTTGTTGAGGAAATACCGTATTTACTGAGTATCATGTGCACATTTTTTCTAAAATTTCAGAAGAAAAAGGGGGTGCGCATCATAAGCGGGTACACATTTTTCAAAAATTTTTAGGAAGTTATGTGTGCCTTATACTTAATTATAATGGAGAAATTTTGAACAAATGTAACAAGAAAACTTTTTTGTACTGAAAAAGTTGAAAATTGATCCAATTTTTGTTCAATTCATGTCTAAAGTCAAATTTTTTGAATTTATTTTTGAAATTTTGTGGTTTTAAATTCACTAAAAATTTGGGTGTGCGTCTTACTTGGATATAAGATTTTAGCCAAATTTCCAACTGAAAAAACCCTGTGCGCTGGCCTTACTTGAGGGCATGTGGTACTTGAATAAATATGGTATGTTGAGGGTTCAATTTCTGGTGGGTGGTTTTATATATAAGGGATGTAAAAGAGCTTTCTTTGCTTTCATATAAGTGAGAATCCCTGCCTACAGCTTATTCCTATCACTGCGTGTGTTGCTGACACAAATGAATTCGGCACCCAGGGATTGAATAGATGGACGATGATAGCAACCGAACTTTTCTTCGCAGGAGAAATGAGGGATAGAAGCCTTTCGGGGGAATTATCGAAGAGGTTACTCCGTAAACCTCTTTCTTACGCATTCTAGGAATGAGTAAGAACTATCGTAATTTATTAATTGAATAAAGATGGGCTCTCTGAAGCCCTGTATTCACTCAAGTGGGCAAGAAATTACTCCAGGAATTTATAATGAATTTATACTCTCTTGCATCATGGATCATAGACGACTCAGCTGCCTCATTTTTGTAGGTTCTGCGTGAATTTTGAAATTTACAGAAGTTTAAGAATATTGCAAAAAATGTTTATCTTATTAAAACACCTTTAGTTCTCAGAGAAATCAATATTGGCGAAGAAAGATTTCAGTTACGCGCCATAAATCCGGAATTAAGTAGTACATCGAAGTACACGGTGAAAATCAAATTACCCTTATTTGTCGATCGGAACTGAGTTTTTTGAATTCAGGATCAATTCATGCCTAAATTCAATTTTTTATGGCTTTTTACGTTTTAAAATACAGTGAGACCCTGAAATGCGGGCACCCTGACGTACAGACAATTCAACTTGGGGAAACTTGAAACTTTTGAAAATTGGGTTCAACATCCAGATAATATTTCAACATACAGACACTTTTCCAGCATTTTTAGAAGAAATGAAAATTTTAATTCCTCAATATTTCATGAAAAATTGAGCTATTCATATCCACAGAGATTAAAAATCGATTTCATTATATGTATGTACTTGACTTTATTATAAAAAACAGCTCGATTCTGGGATAATTTTTTAGAATTCTTTATAATCTGTGTGCCGGATAGAAATACATATACTTTTTGTTTGTATTTTTGAGTGCATTTGATGCCAGATCATATTCCGTGAAGTTTTCTCTTTTCTAGATAGTTATATTCAGTAACTTCAGTTGAGAAACACATTTTTTCATTTTTATGGGATCTGGAGAACCAATTAAATTAGTTCCCATTGAATTCTGGTCCAACATACCAACGTTCTGACATAGTGACACAGTTTTAGCCCCAATTATGTCTGCATCTCAGGGTCTCACTGTACAGTGAGACCCTGAGACCCTGTACAGTGAGACCTTGAGATGCAGACATATTTGGTGCATCAAGAGTGTCCCCAAATCAAAATGCCCCTAAGTTGAGTCTCATTTTCACTTAGACTTACATTATATTATTCTGAATTGGCGTTTTATGGACAAAATACTCACTATAATTCCATGAAAATAAAAATTGTCTCTCAATTGAAACTGATTCAATCAATATATTTTAACAAAATATGGACATTTGGGGAATTGAATACTTATACCTCTTTACAGTACAGTACATAGAAATGTTGGCATTCTCTGTAAAAATAAAATTCAAGTGAAAAAGAGAGAAGGAAGTCCCTATATATGCTGGATGTAACTTTTTAAAATTAGCTAAATGGATGGTAAATTGGTGAGAGAAATGCCCAAGAACTTTTCTTACATCAATTTTAGGGTTAGAAATATCTGTTTCTTGTAATTTGGCCTGAACTTATTTGCAATTGTATCAAAAAATNCTTTTCTTACATCAATTTTAGGGTTAGAAATATCTGTTTCTTGTAATTTGGCCTGAACTTATTTGCAATTGTATCAAAAAATGTCCCTATGTGCTGAGTGAGCATCCTCACGTTGGGTCTTTTTTATTTTTTTTTAATGGGAAAATAAGTGTCCCTATGTTGAATTGTCCGCATGTTGAGGTGTCCACATGTGGGGCTCTCACTGTATTTTACTTTTATAGGTCACCAAAAATGGGGTGTGCGTATTACTTGGGGATATAATTTTTGTAACCAATTTTGACTGAAAACCCATGGTGCGCGTGGTAGTACTCGAGTGAAAAAAGGCTCAGTACAGTGCAGTATCTTTAAATAAAATTGAATTCTATTTATGTATTTTGAGATGGATGTAACTTGATGGAAAGCCTTTTTCCCCCCGTCCTAAATATTCCCGCTGTCGCAGTCACTCACGGAGATTGCTTTCCACGCCGCCTATGGGCTCGTTGTTGCTGTATATCTGCCGGTTAAGATGAGTTGATCCGAGAGATTTCGCCGCTCATGGTGAAAGCGAGGAAAATCGCGGGATGTTCTGCTGCTGCTGTTCTCTCTTCCAGCATTCGCTGTGTTTTATAGCAAAGGGGAGAAAACACAGAAGACGTCGGGTTCAGAAGATGCATGCTGATGTCCGTTGTGTGATGGGGACAGAGTTTGGCGAGAAGGGCGGGGGAATAGGAATTTATCGTTGCGTTTATTGCGCCGCGCGCGAAA